GTGTATTTAAAAAACCTGGAGTTCCTGACTGAGTGGCCAGAATTCCTATGGCAGGCGGGGTACATTTTAGTTGTCTGCCTGAACCTCTGACTCAGAAAGGCCTGTATACATAAAGGTTACTGATCCTCTCCACCACTCATGGAGAACTGGAAAAACCTGGGGTATACGGTTGTACATGAAAGAGTATAACCAGGGCACCTTATTTGCTATTCAAAGGTGGACCATCAACCATAAACCTATACCCATATACCCCTTAACTGAGTTACAGGACCCTATGTTTGGCTTTCATCCACAACCCCCTCCTAAAGGTTATATTATTACCCAGGTCCATCCCAAGCACCTCCTGAACTAGCTCCAAAGTCTTCGGGAATAAGCTTTTCAGTCCAGGATCCCCCTAGTTTCTTTCCTATGTTAACTCATATGACTGCACCTGCCAATACGTGGTTTGCTTGTTCATGAGAGTTAATTACTTGTGTTACTGCTGAAATGTTAGACAATAAGCCTGTTTTACGTATTATTGTTCATGTACTTCCTCAGTTATATGTCTACAGTGGCCCCAAGGGTGCTTTCTTAATTTTACCACCTGGTGCCCGAAAAAGGCATGCCATTCCTCTGTTAGTCCCCACTTTAGTTGGATTAAGTGTGGCTGGGACAGCTGCACTTAGCAATCCTGCTTTAGTCTACGGAGAAACAGAACTAATGGGACTAACAAGCTTAACCCAAAACATAAATAATGACCTAGAATATATACAGTCATCAACAGAACAACTCCCTGACTAGGTAAATTCTTTAGCCAAGGTCATCCTCCAAAATCAGAAAGGTCTTGACTTATTGTTCATGTCTCAAGTGCTTTGTGCTTCTCTTGGAGAAACTTGTTATTTCTATGCCAATACATCAGGAATCATCAAAGAAACTCTCCAAAAGATCTGGCAAAATATAAACAAGCAACAAAAAAAGCTAAATAACAGTAAGTCCTGGTTCCAATCCTTGTTCGATTGGAATCTATGACTGACTACTTCACTTACTAGTCTAGCAGGACATCTCATCTTTCTTGGTCTACTCATCGGACCTTGCATTTTAAACTGGTTTGTTAACTTTGTCAAGAAACAAATCAACTCAGTTAAAATTCTGTATACCAGAACCTACTATAATTCCCTTCCTTTAATTGAAGAGTCAATGAATTGACTCATGCACAACTAAAAAGGGGGAATGAAATGTGCTAAATGGGTTAATAAAATCAAATTGCTAGCATAATAATAGTATCAATCAGCTTACTCCATTTTGTTTAAAGCTTCCATCTTAGTTACCTACCTGACCTAAGGATCACTCCTCAGTGCCTACCTGTGATTACAGTAATGTTCCCATGACCACAGACCTTCCCCCCACTTTGTCTCTTTTGGGCAGGTCGTGCTGACCATTTTCTGCTGACTGTTACAAAACTCCTTGGCCATAAGTTCCATGTAATTGTATACTTTGTTAACTGAAATCAAATGTTATGCTTTGCAAAACCCCATTGTTACATTTTCATATTTTGTTCTTATATTCTGTTAGTGACCTAACCAAGGTAACTCCATTGTGTAATGATTCTTCTTCCTTGTCTCTATGTAACTACCTTAAACTATATTTTAATGGCAGAACTCCAGGGACTTTCTGGGCACTGGCTATACCTAGGTCAACTTGTTAGTTAATAGCTGCTACGGTCACTAAGTTGCTACATAACCAATACTACAAATTTTACCTATAAAAGCTTATCACAAACTGCACCAGTTTGTCAAGAGTTTTTCCCGGTATTTGCCTGCTCTTGACCTGTGCGTTAATTAAAAAAAAATCATAATTAATTAAACTCAGCTTGCTGGCGTGACTTCTCGCTTACTCGGTCATAACAGATGCACTATCTTTTCTTGGCTTTCAAAGCACCATGCTTTCCCGGTCCTCATAAGCTGGTCTTTCTTGGCTTTCTTTGCTGGTTCTTCTTCTCCCACATCTTTTAATGTTGAAGTATCCCAGAGCTCAGTACTAGAACCCCTTGTCTTCTCTGTTTAAACTCAGGTGATAAAGCAAAAATTAGCCGGGCGTGGTAGCGCGCACCTGTAGTTCCAGCTACTTGGAAGGCTGAGGCGAAAGGATCGCCAGAGCCCAGCAGGTCGAGGCTGCGGTGGCTGGGAGTGGCCACTGCACTCCAGTCTGGCCGACAGAGTGAGACTCCAACTCAAAAAAAAAAAAATAAATAAATAAAATAAAATAAACTCAGGTGATCCTTCCAACTCATCCTCCTGAGTAGCTGAACTATGCCTGGCTAATTTTTTTTAAGTTACTATTTTCTGTAGAGATGAGGTCTCACTATGTTGCCTAGGCTGGTCTCGAACTCCTGGGCTCAATCAATTTGCCCACCACAGCTTTGCAAAATGCTAGGATCACACGTGTGAGCCGCTGTGCCCAGCTCTTGCAGGCACTTAAAAAAAAAGAAAGAATACTTCCATAACTATAGATGATCCGTTTTAAAAAGTGATAGCTGAACAAACATTGGAAGCTACTGCTCTTTCCTGAGATACTCCTATGACTAGCCCCAGTGTCTCCTTCCAGTCGCTGCTGATCTGTCATCTTTTCACTAAGTCCTACCCTGACAAGTAGCCAATTCCCCACCCCAGCCCTTCAACACCCTCCAGCCTGCTCTAGACTTTCTTTCCATCCTCCTTTGTTATGGAGGCTGTTTATTGCCTGTCCCTCCCTTCTACAGTATTGGTTCCATGAGGGCAGAGATCAGGGAGTAATCACTGATTGTCCCAATGCCCAGGACAGCGCCTGGCTGAGCACATGGCAGATTCTCAATAAATATTTGTAGACTGACTGAATGAGTCTTAGAATCTTTAAAAATCAGAGCTGAATGAGACCCTAATAATGATCTAGTCTATCACTCCCCAGCAGTGGCCACCAGTGTTTGTTCATCTATAAGTTTTAAAAACTTATTATCTATTTTGTTATTTTTTTATTTGTTTTTTTTTTTTTTTTTTTTTTGAGTGGAAGTCTCACTCTGTCGCCCAGACTGGAGTGCAGTGGCACGCTCCCGGCTACTGCAGCCTCGATCTGCTGGGCTCTGGCGATCCTTCTGCCTCAGCCTTCCAAGTAGCTGGAACTACAGGCGTGCACTACCACGCCTGGTTCATTTTTTTGATTTATTGTAGAGTTTTTTTAAGTGCCTGCAATAGCTAGATGTAATGGCTCATGCCTGTAATCACAGCATTTTGGGAGGCCAAGGCGGGAGGATTGCTTGAGCTCAGGAGATTGAGACCAGCCTGGGCAAGACCTCATCTATACAAAATGTTAAAAAGAAAAAAAAAAGAAAGAGCCAGGCATGGTAGTGCATGCCTGTACTCCAAACTATTTGTGACTGAGGTGGGAGGATCACCTAAGCCCAGGAGATGGAGGTTGCAATGAGTCGTGAATGTGTCATTGTACTCCAACCTGGGCTACAAAATGAAACCCTGACTCTAAATAAATAAATGATAGCTAAGGAGGGGGGAGGGAGGGAAAGAGGGGGAGAGATTGGATAGATAGATTAGGATAGATAGATATAGGTTAGATCGATAGATATAGATAGATGATAGATATAGATAGATAGTCTGCAATATTATAACAGTTTCTTTTTGAATTATGTAGCTTTATACATTTAAATGTTGTATATCTTACAAATACATCTATCAGATTTCTATGCAAGCTTATATTCAATTACAGTGAAGTAATTACCTATGAGATACTGACATTTCATCCTAATTTTAAAAACACAGACCTGGAAAAAATCAACTGTACGATTTAAATGATGGTTCATTAGTAACAATTTAGTGTCCTCTGCTGACTCTAAATCAATAGAACATTTGAAAAGATTTCCTGGTATTTGTTAACTGCTTTACAATATAAGCTTTTAAAACAGTAAATGTGACTAAAATGGCTTTGTTGTCATGAAAGAGAAATGATTTCAAGAAGCCATTTTTAAAATTGAAAACTGTATTCCTGATTCTTATTTTTAAAATAAATACTAACATAAATACAATAAAAGCATAATTTGAGTATAGAAAAATAGTCATGGTAATTTTCTTAAATTTTTCTTTTTTGATTCAAAGGGTACATGTGTATGTTTGTTACATAGTAACAATGTGTGATGGTGAGGCTTGAGCATCTTTGGAGCCCGTCACCCAGGCGGTAGACATAGTATCCAGTAGGTAGTTTTCAACTTCCTTATTAGGGCTCCAGAGTCTGTCGTTCCCATCCTCGTGCCCATGTGCGTACAGTGCTTAGCTCCCGCCTATTAGGGAGAATGTGTGGTACTCAGCTTTCTGTTTCTGTGATAATTTGCTCAGGATGATGGTCTTTAGCTGCATACACACCATGGTGATTTTAAAGGGTTCATAAAATTTACTTTGAAAAATAAAACCTAAGCTGGGAGTGGTGGCGCATGCCTGTGGTTCCAGCTACTTGGATGACTGAGGTGGAAGGATTGCCTGAGCCCAGCAGATTGAAGCTGTGGTGGCCATGAGCGTTCCACTGCACTCCAACCTGGGCGACAGAGTGAGACTCTGACTCAAAAAATTAAAAATTAAAAAAATAAAACCTGGAACAAGCCATACTGATTCCTTGGATGGCTATATGACAATGTGAAAACTGTCACATGTCTCCAGATAAGTTGATAAACAAGTTCAGATTTTGAAATATTCATATAATTGGAGAGCACTTTGCAACAAACAAAATAGCAGGTGATTAAACCTAAGGCTTCAGCTTCAATGTGCAAACCTAGTTGTTTTTCCTTCCAACTAAGAAACTCCCTTGGTGCTCTCAACCTTGATAAACCTTAACAAGATTTCAAGCTGGGTGCAGTGGCTCAGCCTGTAATCCCAGCACTTTGGAAGGCTGAGGCGAGAGGACCGCATGAGTCCAGGGATTCGAGACCAGCCTGGGCAACTTGGCGAGACCTCGTCTCTACAATAAATCAAAAAATTAGCTGGGTATGGTGGTGCACACCTGTGGTTCCAGCTACTTGGAAGGCAAGGCGGAAGGATTGCCTGAGCCCAGGAGGTAGAGACTGCGGTTGCTGTGAGTGTGCCACTGCATTCTAGTCTGGGCAACAGGGTGAGACTTCAATTCAAAAAAACAAACAAAAAAAGATTTCATAGGAAAAATTCAACAAATATTCATAAACAGAACATTGTCAGAATTAGTCACATCCATCTAATGTTTATATCCCAATTTGTTTCTACCTTTATGATAAAAATTTATACTGTCTTCTATTAGAGCCAGTTCTAATTTGTAGCTTATCTATAATATTGTTCTCCCACTTGCACATATGCTTTCTAAGAGTAAGGAGAGTGTCTTATTGAATTCAGATAAATTCACCAACATTCACTGAGTGATAATAGTGCTTGGCAATTTGAAGCATGGAAAATATCTCTGTAGCATTGAGTCCTATAAAATTATTATTGTGGCCGGGTGTGGTGGCCCAGTCTGTAATCCCAGCACTTTTGGAGACCTGAGCCCAGGGGCTCGAGACCAGCTTGGGCAACTTGGTAAGACCTCATCTCTACAATAAATCACAAAAAAAACCTAGTCAGGAGTGGTAGCGTGCATCTGTAGTTCTAGCTACTTGGAAGGCTGAGGTGGAAGGATCACCTAAGCCCAAGTCGAGGCTGCTGCAGTGGCTGTGAGCGTGCCCCTGCACTCCTCCAGCTTGGGCGGCAAGAATGGGACTTCAACTCAAAAAAAAAAAAAAAAAATTACTATTGTTTCTTATCTTCTGCATTAAAAACAATCAGATAGCGGCCTTAACTTGTTTTTCCACCAAAAGTAATATGTGTAATAATTTTCATATAATTGCCAAGCAAGTCAGCTTATACTCACAGAGGAACTCTAAAAACGATAAACAGAATTCCCAAAAGGAAATTGTCATCGATCTGAAATAGAACCCCCACATCACCCCAAGAGTGCCTATTTGTTTTTCTTTTCTTTTTTTCTTTGAGTTGGAGTCTTGCTCTGATCCAGGCTGGAGTGCACTGGGATGCTCATGGCTGCCGCAGCCTCGACCTGCTGGGCTCCGGCGATCCTTCCGCCTCAGCCTTCCAGTAGCCGGAACTACAGGCGCACACTACCAAGCTCGGCTACTTTAAAAAAAAAATTTTTTTTAAATTTTATTGTAGAGACGAGGTCTCACCAAGTTGCCCGGCTGGGTCTCGAACCCATGGGCTCATGCAATCCGCTTGCCTCAGCCTCCCAAAGTGCTGGGATGACAGGCTGAGCCACTGAGCCCGGCTTGTTTTGCTTTTCATTTTCCATTTCCTGATCTGACGGCAAGCGCTCCTTACCTTAACAAAACTCATCCGGATAGTGCACATCTTAGTCAACTCATACACGACTTCAAAGCCATGGTGAACTGACTGAGCCAGCAGCTGAGCAAAGAGCTGGTTGTTGAAGACCTTGAGGCTGCACCCGCTGGGGATCTTGCACACAGTGGCTGGGTGGAAGCCGTGCTGGTAGTTGCAGTTCCGGCTCTGCACAAAGATGCTGCTGTCACTCACACACTCGGCATACACTTCTCCTCCGACGTAGTACAAGTGCACGCCTGCAGATACAGAAACACAGTCTTCCTTCACACGCTCTTTCACACGGTGCCCTTCCCTTCCCCCTTACAACCTCAAGAGATGTGACTTGCCCCTCAGGTTCATTGTTAGATCACCAGTCACAGATGGGTGGAGATGTGTGACCCAGACATATACTTGTTTCTACTATAATCTGTGATTTTTCCACAAATCCACTTAGAAGTGACCGCAACCCATGCAAACAATCGTTCCCAAGGACCATTAGTAAGTTTTCAGGTACTACTCCTTCCCGCCTTATTTATTCCAAAAATAAGGTTTCGTAATATAAGAAACAAAATATATTATGCCAAAAAATATCAAATGATCCTTCATGTAATGTACACATTTTAAAATGTAAAGCTGAACACAGCTAACTTAATGAAAATGTCACTTAAGTGCACACACTAAACCTACTTCAGAGGAAACAATGATGTTTAAAATTTGTTTTGCCAACAGTTATAAATCTATTTATCTTAAATACCTCAAAGAGACCTATAAAAGTTTATCATCCACTATTATAATTATATAATGTCTATTTTTTACTTGTGAACAGTGAAATCCCTTTAGTAATACAATAGATATAATAATATAAAAATTCAAAAGCAGAATGCAGCTTCTATCACTTTATTTAACATTTTTAAATTCATATGAAGACATAAACAACCACAAATAGCCAAAACAGTCCTCAGGAAAAGAAACAAAGCGGGAGATATCACAGTTCCAGACTTCAAATTTTATTATAAGGCTACAATAATCAAAACAGCCTGGAATTGATACAAGAATAGGCATAGGACCAATGGAACAGGGTAGAGATTCTAGAAGCAAGACCTAAATTTCTCAACCAACTCATCTTCGACAAAGCCACCACCAACAACTGCTGGGGAGAGGAGAACCTAGTCAGTAAATGGTGCTGGGAAAACTGGCTGACCACATGCAGAAGATTAAAGCAAGACCCCTACCTATCACCATACACAAAAATCAGCTCTAAATGAATCAAAGAGCTAAATGTAAAGCCTCAAACTATAAGAACCTTAGAAAATGCAGGAGAAACCCTTATGGAAATTGGAACTGGTAACCAATTCCTGATCAAAACCCCAAGTGCCCATGCCATAAGATATAAGATAGACAAGTGAGACCTCATCAAACTCAAAAGCTTCTGCAAAGGAAAAGAAACCATCAAGAGATCAGGGAGACAGCACATAGAATGGGAGAAAATATTTGCCAACTGTATATCTGACAAAGGCCTAACATCTAGGATCTACAAGGAACTCAAAAGTGCCAAAAGGAAAAAAAACAGCCCCCATTAAAAAGTGGGCAAAAGACATGAATAGACACTTCTCCAAAGAAGATATATGGGTAGACACATGAAAAAGTGTCAGCCTCACTAATCACCAGAGAAATGCAAATCAAAATCACATTGAGATACCACCTGACTCCAGTAAGAATGGCCATCATTAATAAAACAAACAACAGCAGATGATAGTGAGGATGTGGAGAAAAAGGAATGCTTCTACACTGCTGGTGAAAATGCAAACCAGTGCAACCTCTTTGGAAAACAGTATGGTGATGTCTAAAAGAACTAGACATTGACCTTCCATATGACCCAGCAATTCCCCTACTGGGAATATACCCAGAGGAACTCAAATCATTCTACCAAAAAGATACCTGCACATGCATGTCTGTTGCAGCACTAGTCACAATAGCAAAAACATGGAATCAACCATGCTGCCCATCAAAATCAAACTGGATTAAAAAAATGTGATACATATCCACAATAGAATATTACACAGCCATAAAGAAGGACAAACAGACAGACTTCACAGCAACTTGGATGGATTTAGAGTCTGATATACTTGGTGTCCTATCACAGGAGCAAAGAACAGAGTACCACATGTTCTCACTCATAAGCGGACCCTGAACATTTACCATATGACTAAAAGAAAAGGATTGGCTGTAGCAGGATACTGCTGGGGTGCATGGGGGGAACATAACATAAGGGTAACTGATCTCAAACCAGGTAAAGTGGGGACCAAAAGGAGGCCCAAACTTTACCTATATGATGACCACTTGTGTACCTAATCTTGAATTGTACCCCACATCTTTAAAATTAAATTAAATTAAAAAGATTCTTGGAATTAAATTTCAAACAAGATCTTGAGATGTTGCTGTTCATGCTAATTTCCTTCCAAATTAATTTTACTTGATTCTTTCTCTCCAAATGTTTAGGTTTAGATTCAATATAAATTTATAGCAGAAGACTAAGATTAGAAAAAAAATGTAGAAATTCTAATCTAGTCTAGAACAAATTTTTTTCCAACTTTTTTTTTTTTTTTTTGAGTCAGAATTTCACTCTGTCCCCCAGGTTGGAGTGTAGTGGCACACTCATGGCCACCGCAGCCTCAACCTGCTGGGATCAGGTGATCCTTCTGCCTCAGTCTTCCAAGTAGCTGGAACTACAGGCATACTCCACCATGCCTGGCTAATTTTACTTTTTTATTATAGAGATGAGGTCTCGCCAAGTTGCCCGGGCTGGTCTCGAACCCCTGGGCTCAGGCAATCCTTTTGCCTGATTATAGGCTTGCGCTACCATGCCTGGCCTTTTTCCAACTTTTAATGGGAAAAAAATGTCTCCAGCACTAGAATGCAGCATCACTGCAATCACTAAGCTGTTAAAAGGTGTTCGTAGAAACGACCCAGAACACACACATTTTGGCTCGCCTCAAAACAAAAATGCAAAAATTTACAAGAATAGAACTTATAGGGCTCCAGACCCTCTCAGATCCTGGTCTGTGTAACTAAATGTAGAAAACATTACTGATGTAGCTGACCAGAGTTTGTCAGGTTCTAAGTAGCATTTGAGACAATTATGCATTATATGTGACAACCTCCCACCATATTTATTATTCCCTTTTCCCATCTCCTTTCCCTTAATAAAATTTTAGAAGAGAACAATTTTGATTATTATATGTTCCAACCACATCACGCTGATGAAGCTGACCCAGAGTCAAGAGATCAAGCACAGCTCTGGATACTCAGGCCAAGGTTTTCTTGTCAAGATCCATATCAGCCTGGCTCCCCTTCCTTTTCCCTCAGCCTTCCTCTCCCTTCTTTTTCTTATCTCCATTACTCACTCTCTTGCACAGCCTCAGACCTGACCCCCATGACCCAGGCAGTGGTACTGATGAAGCAGAAGGATGGTCTTCACTGGCTGGAATAGTGACTGGCTGTTCCACAGTGGTGGAGGCCAGACAAGGGCAAAAAGCAAGCACTGCCTCCTCCAACAATCCCTGTAGGTTGTGGGAAGCCTGCCTCTGGGATGCCAGAGGCTTTTTAAAAGAGGTTTTTCAAAAAAGCTGCAGTGGAGCTGTAAGGGTTTAGTAGGTGGTTGAATTGAATGATCTTCAAATATATGATCCTTCTAAAACCTATGACATAGAATAGATAAGATTTTTGCTATCCGACTCTGGTCTTTATTTAGGGGGTGGCTTTCAATTCTGTTAAATTCTTATGTGCAACTACAGCCCACTTTGGCAGAGTTACCAAAGCAGAGAAGAGCTTGGGCAGGTAGGCAAGATGGTTCAACATCCTGAGAGAAGAGGATGTAGAGCCAAGGAATGAGCTCATCATGCCGGCTCTGAACAGAGAGGGCGGAACCTGACCCCAAGGTGAAGGAGACCAAGTTTTGGCAAGAGACAGCAGCATCTAAAGAAGAGTCAAGTATCAAATGACTTTATTTTCACCTATTTGGTGAATAGTGGCTTTAAACCATATATATGAGATTCAAGACCACCATAGAGTAGAACAATGGTTCTAAAACTTTAGCTTGCACCAGAACCACTTGGAGGGTTTACTAGCACAACCACTGCTTCATTGGGCCTGGGCTGAAGCCTGATAATTCACATTTCTACCAAGTTTTCCAGGTGAGGCTGATGCTGCCTCACCTTACCATACTTTGGGAATCACTGGATTAAAAGCTCAGGTTATGTTTACAAACTAGCCCCAGAAATTGGAAGGGTTGGCTTTTCAAGTGAGTGATACTTGGCAACTATTTTCAGACAAGAAACACAGAATTCATTATTCCATTGTGTGCGTGAATCCTAGCAGAAGTCTCGTGTGTGTGTGTGTGTGTGTGTGTGTGTGTGTGTGTTTTTAGCTGGAGTCGCACTCCATTGCCCAGACTGGAGTGCAGTGGCACGCTTACCGACACCCCGGAATCGACTTGCTGGGCTCAGGCAATCCTTCCACCTCAGTCTTCCAAGGAGCTGGAACTACAGGTGTGCGCTACTATGCCCGGCTAATTATTGGTTTATTGTAGAGACGAGGTCTCACCATGTTGCCCTGGCTGGTCACAAAACTGTGGGTTCAGGCAGTCCTCTCGCCTCAGTCTCCCAAAGTGCTGGGATTACAGGCTTGAGCCACCGTCTCTTGTGTTTTGTCTATTTCAGCATTCCACTCACTGTGGACTCTCCATTTTCTGTGACATTCCTTTAAAGTGGTACAGGCTACATTATGACAGTTCTGTATGAAATGCTTAAAAGGGACAGTGTAGCTATTATTGTGGCAATAAAATATGCCATTAAAATGTTAATTATTATCATTGAGAAGTTTTAGAAGTGGAAAACAAAGCTATTGTTAAAATTTTGTAACTTGTCCTAACTCCTAGGAATAAGGATAAATGCCACACGGGAAGTATTACCTGAGATCTTAAAGAGAACCCAGGCAAGGCGGCCCTGGGGCAAGCTCTGCCCATACCTCGGTCTCCACTTCCACTTGGGCTGTGTCTTTCAGTGTCTGAGCTTTCCGTTGGTGTTTCACTGTTTAGGAGATCCGGGAGTTTGGAGACCCGTGTTTTGGTTAATTAGAACCAGAGGCACTTTGGCTTTGATTTAGGTCTGCTGGTTTGGAATGCAAGGGTGTCTCCTTTTAACCCTATTCTATCATCTTTCATGACAAGAAATGATTGGAGAAAGACTGGGAAGGGGGT